CCAGAAAGACTTTATGTGTTTTTGTTTTGTTTTGTTTTGTTTTTTTGTCTTTTTGAGACAGGGTGTTGCTATGCAGTTCAGGCTGGCCTTGAGCTCCCTTTGTAGCCCAGGTTGGTCTTGAACTCGCAATGATCCTCCTGCCTCAGCCTCCCAAGTGCTGGGATTGCAGGCATGCACCACTACGCCCGGCTTTGACTTTATGTGTTTTAAATGTTATATTTTCTTCCTCCCTCCCCCATCTGTCTCTCCCTCTCTCCCTCTCTTTCTCTCTCCCTCTCTCCCTCTCTGTATGGTGCTGGAAATTTAACCCAGGGCCTCACTCATGCTAAGCATACTCTGTATCATTGAACTATATCCTCAGCCCTCAGTGTTATCTATATTATTTATTTTGGCTATAAAAATAAACAAGCCCAAGCCAGATGTGGTGGCACACCCTGTAATACTCTCAGCACTTGGGAGGCTGAAGCAGCAGAGTCCCTGTGAGCTGGGGGCCAGCCTGAGCTACATACTGAGTTCAAAGGCAACCTGAAGTACAAAATGAGACCTGTCTCAAACAACTTAAATAAATAAATAAATAAATAAATAAGCAAGCCCAAAGTAAAGCGGTTTCATACTCCAGAGAAATATGCAAGTATATTGTGTAAAGAGAAAGTAGCCTATAATTTTACTATCCAAAGATAACCAATTGAATAATATCCCCCAAGACATTATACTCAAATCCTAGCTTTCTCCCCCTTTAAAAAAATCTGGGAAACATTTGCACATTAAGAGATATCGAATTCTTCTAAAAGTATGTGAAGCTGGGTATAGTGGCACACGCCTGTAATCCCAGCACTTGGGAGGCTGAGGCAGGAGGAGCATTGCAAGTTCGAGACCAGCCTGGGCTACAAAGTGAGCTCAGGACCAGCCTGAACTGCATAGCGAGACCCTGTCTCAAAAAGACAAAAAAAAAAAAGTCTGTGTAATATTCCACTTAGGAATGTTCTGCAAGGTTAGAAATATGCACTTTAAGGAAGAATAGAAATTGGTTTACTGCCATGCATGGTGTGTAATCTCCACACGAGGGAGGCTGAGGCAGGAGATTCACTTGGAGTTCCAGGCCGATCAGGGCTACATAGTCAACTCAAGGCCAGCCTGAACTACAAAGCGAGACCTTGTCAAGAAAAAGTAAAAAGAAACCAAACTAGAATCTCCAGATAAAATACAGGAGACACAGGGGTGGGGATTTAGCTCAGCGGCACAGCGCCTGCCTGGCAAGCACAAGGTCGTGAGTTC